CAACGGGGTTATATGGGACAGAAGTGTAATCCAAGGTGAACATGCAACACAGGTGTGATGTAACACAACGTAAGTGGGAACGTGTAGTAGGATGCACAGTGTGAGTGTGTGAATCTGTTACACCACCCCCCTCGTCAGCAAAGGTGAGCCGGGCTAAACACGAGTAGGTAAGCATTATAATACCAGTAAATCAATATTATTGGTTCGAAAATAATTGCTAACACAAGAGGCAATTCAAGGTATGGTAGGAAGTAAAACTCAACGCAGGAAAGGCGGCTATTGACGACGCTTCGTTTTCAAGTAACTCTGCAGCGGAATAATTTCCTTGTTAGACTCGTCCAATAAATGTTCGATAGGCTCCCAGGTGTTCTCACTGTAGCCACGCCATTGAACTAGATACTCCATGCGGCCCCTCCGTTTCCGTTCATCGACGACCGCGTCTACAATATAACGCGTGTTGCCGTCCAGATCCGTTATTGGTGGCGGAGGCGGCTGTTGCCGTCCTGGTATAGAGTTCTCCTCATACCGCCTCAGAGCTGACACATTAAACACCGGATGACAACGCATATTGGCAGGAAGTAGCAACCGGAAGGCATTGGCACCAACCTTCTCAGTTACAGGAAATGGACCATACCATTTGGAACGCAGCTTAGGGGACGGCTGATTCCGCGCCTCGGGAGTAATGAGGAAATCCCTATAGACCAGAACACGGTCACCAACCTTTATAGTACTGGGGGCACGAGTGTTGTCCGCATACAAGGCCTGCCGCGCCTGAGCCGCTACAATAGCATCCTTAGCAACGCGTAACGCATCCTGTTGCTCCTTCACCCAATCAGAGTGTCCGACTCCCATACGATCACCCAGCAAATCCGCTGGGGCTCGGGGGTGAAACCCAAAATTCAAATAAAATGGGGTATGCGATGTAGAGGAATGGTGGGCACTATTGATGGAGAACTCGCAAAGAGGCAATAGCTTATCCCAATTGTCATGCTTATGGTTAATGAATGCACGGAGGATGTCTTCAACCAGCCTATTCACCCTCTCCGTTAATCCATCTGTTTGGGGATGGTTTGCCGTGCTGAAACAAAGCTTGGTTCCCAGAAGTTGAAACACCTCCCTAAAAAAGGCAGCAGTGAACCGAGGATCTCTATCTGAGACAATGGATGAACTCAAACCATGCAACCGAAAAACGTTAGCTATGTACAATTCAGCACTGCCCTTGGCATCAATGGATGTGGTAGTCGGTACCAAATGAACGCATTTAGTCAGGCGGTCCACAAAGGTATAAATAGCATCATGTCCAGCAGCTGTCCTAGGAAGACCCGTAATAAAATCCATGGCGATATCCTCCCACGGGCCTTTGGGTATTGGTAATGACTGCAGCAGGCCCGTGCGCAGCCTCCCCGGTTTAGTTCGCTGGCAAATATCGCAAGACTTCACGAAACGTTTGACATCGAGTCCCATTTTCGGCCAATAGAAAAATTTTGCCAAGCGTGAATACGTGCGGTCACGCCCTGGGTGACCTGCCGTCACGCAGTCATGGTTCTCCTGTACCAATTTCAGCCGTAGGGTACACCTCGGTATGCATAAACGGTTGCTAGGAGACGCCTTCAAGTAGAGGAACCCGGAGTCGTTGTCGATGAAGTACTGACTGTGCACATTGTCACTGTCGGGGCGCTTCATTCGTTCCATAACTACACTCAGCTCAGGGTCCACGGCATAACTGTCCAGTATCATGTTGGCTATATCGTCATTGACCTCCAAGGTATATTCTATAGCGTTTAGTCGAGCTTCAGGCGGAACCACATGATCTTCGTCCCTTAAGTCCGGGCGGCGTGACAACGGATCCGCCACATTCTCCTTGCCAGGTTTATGGTGAATAGTGTAATCAAAGTCCGCAAGAAATTCAACCCAACGGGACTCCCTTTTCGTGAGATTTGATTTTGTCAGTAAGTAGACTGCTGCTCGGTTGTCTGTGAAAACGTCAAAGTGTTCAAACAAATAAATGCGCCACATCCGGAGGGCGGACACAACTGCTAACGTTTCTCGTTCCGACGCTGTGTAGTTCCGCTCCGCCGAGGAAAGCTTTCGACTGCCGTACGCCACTGGCAACCAACAACCAGGTTCCCCCTCCTGCGAGAGCACCCCCGCGATTGCAAAATCGCTAGCATCAGTTTCAACTCGGAAAGGTTTTGATACGTCTGGAAGTCTCAAAATAGGGGGATTTAGCAGTGCCCTTCGCAACTCCTCGAATGCTGCCTGGGCCTCACCAGTCCATGAGAACCTGGTGTATTTACCCGTTAGCTCCTCCAAGGGCTTGGAAATATATGAATAGTGTCTAATAAAGCGACGGAAGTAATTGGTAAACCCGAGAAATTGTCTCACGTCTTTCACCGTACATGGGGTGGGCCAATCACGAACTGCAGCCAACTTCTCCGGATCAGGGCTAATCGAGGAACCGGTCAAACGGTGACCCAAGAATAGAATTTCTTCCACCGCAAACTCGCATTTCGGTAACTTGCAGAATAGTTGGTTAGCGCGGAGGGTAGTCAGAACGGTTCGAATGTGCTCAACGTGCTCTTCCAGGGTTTTGCTAAAAATCAGAATGTCATCCAGGAACACTACCACGAATTGGCGCAAGTACGGCTGCAGAATGGAGTTCATCAGTGATTGGAAGGTTGCCGGGGCATTAGTCAGACCAAACCCCATGACCCTGAACTGGTAGTGGCCAAACGGGGTGTTAATTGCCGTTTTCGGCACATCCTCCTGTTGTATCCTGATTTGGTTGTATCCTGCGCGAAGATCAAGCTTCGAGAAATATGCACTGCCCTGCACTGTGTCGAATAGGTCCTCAATGTTAGGGAGGCAGGCCTTATTCTTAATTGTTATTCTATTAAGTTCCCTCCAGTCACACACCATGCGAAGAGATCCATCTGATTTCTTCACAAAGAACACAGGAGCCCCATAGGGCGACTTACTCGGCTCTAAGAAGCCTCTCCGGAGCAGCTCCTCAATCTGCTTCTGGAGCTCGTCTAGCTCCGGCTTCGGAAGGCGGTATGCCGGTCGTGATGGTGGCGCTGTCCCTTCCGCCACCTTTATTTCATGGTCGACCGTTCGCTCTGGCGGTAGTTGGTCAGGGAGCTCGTCCGGAAATAGGTCGTCGAACTCACGTAGCAGAGCGTTCAGCTCACTTCCGAAGTGAGTTCCTTCCTTGTCACGGATAGGTGGTGGATCTTGGCCCGGCGCATCATCCTCCATAGAGACCCAGGCTATATACGCTTCGTCTCCTGAACGAATAGCGGCATTCGCTTGTGCTGCAGAGATGAAGTGGGATTCTGCGAACTCGGCGTCCTCGCCAGCTTCGTGGCCTCGAGCCACGAAGGTGTCCTCCTGGATCTGCACCTTTTTACTCCGGAAGTCGATCGTTGGGTTGTGGCGAGACAGCCACGGCATTCCCAAGATGGCGTCGTAGCGCGCCAGTGGCAGCACGGTGAAGGTCTGGGTTTCGCTGAAGTCAGCTACCACCACTTTTACTGGCCCGGCAGTTTCCAAAGGCTGTGTACGAGACGAGCCATCTGCTAATGTGACCTTCAGCTCCTTGGTCGCCGTGTCAGTCTTCAGGTTATGTCTCCTGACGAACTCCGACGACAAAAAATCGTGGGTAGAGCCAGAGTCTATTAGCATGGTAGCCTTCCTCCCATTCACCTTCCCAGTGACACATAGCAGATCGTGCTCTGCGCTCATCGCCACGCTGCTGATGTGCGCCTTAGGCGTAGCGTCAGAACTCTCCACTGCAGGATCGCTTGCGCTGTCTCCTTCCTCAACACTCAGGCCCTCGAACCTATTGAACACAATGAGTGGTGTGGGTGCCTGAGTATCCACCGCCAGTGAGCGCACTCCCTTCTTCACTGGCTGGAAGCGTTTGGGGAATTCACGATGACTGGACAGTTTCTGGCAATATGTCCAGGCTTCCTGCATGAGTAACATATGGGCTCACTCGTACGGTTAGATTGCTGCTGCTGACGTCCCCATGGACTGACAGGTTGCCTCGGTGTACTGGCCTGAGCGTGAGGTGCCGGACCCGGGTGCCTCGACCGACGAATGCCTGTGCCTGTGGTGGTCTGTTCCCTCCATACTCCTGATGCCTGCATGGCTGCCATGCGTGCGGCACGAATGGCCTGGCCTAGTGTTGTCGGGTGCTCCCGAAGAGCCGAGTGACCGATTGCTGCATGCAGGCCCCTCACGAACAGCACCGCCTTCGAATGGTCATTCAGGTCGTTCACCTGAAGGCAGAGGTTAGTGAATTCCTGTACGTATGCGTCCAGGCTGCCGCGCTGCACCAGTCCAAACAGCTTGAGGCGCGCTTCCTCCTGTTCATGGACTGGGCCATACACGTCGCCGAGTGACTGTTTTAGCGTCGGCCAGTCGTGGATGCAGGCGCCGGAATCCAATACCGACATCAGCCAAAGCCTGGCGTTGCCTTGTAGGTAGCTGGCAGCGAATCGCACCTGCTCCTGGTCGTCGTTGACGCGCTGTGACACCATGGCAAGCTCGATAGCGAAGACCCACTCCCTGAAGTCCGCAGGGTTGCCCGAAAACACCGGAGGCCTATTGACTGTCCCATCAAATTTCCTGTCGAGCAGTCGTTGGTCCGTGGGCCGTTGAGGTCCTTGAGGTATATCCGTCGTTGCGGCAGTTTGTACCCGTCGACGCGCTCCGTCCTTGTAGCGGTCATACCGAGCTAACAGAAGGGTGGCCACGCATACCAGCAAACAAAAAATCTCGACAACCATCCTCTGCTACCAGTGTAACCGTCCAACCAGAGCGATTCAGGATCAAGAGTAGAACGACTTTATTATACCATCAACGGGGTTATATGGGACAGAAGTGTAATCCAAGGTGAACATGCAACACAGGTGTGATGTAACACAACGTAAGTGGGAACGTGTAGTAGGATGCACAGTGTGAGTGTGTGAATCTGTTACAGTAGGTATGGCTATTGCAGAGTTGATGACTCTGGGCGTAAATCAACGACCCTGTAACGATCTAACTATTCTAAGGTTGTAAGATAGATCGATACCAAGCAGCATATCTCCTTCCTTGACCTTCTGGTGTGCTGCGCTGATAACCGTGAAGAGTTTACGGCTACTGAATCGTGATGGCTGTGTTGTTCGTGAAAGCCGACCAGAAAGTTTGGCAGAAGCATGGGGAAGCTGTCAAGCTGACAGAAGAAACGTTCGTGCATCATTCTGCCCGGCGACCAGTTCCGAAAGTCGCTGCACAAGACATGAACAGTGTGCGCTGTGTGAGCGGGTGGTTGTGACACAAGGAGTCGCGGTGGTGGCAAAAGGAAGGTGAAATGCAGTCGCCAGCTGTATGAAGGGTCACTGCTAAATGTCACAAGCTTGCGAAGATGACAGGTGCGCCTGTCTTTTGTCAGTGACATTTCTCAACATAGCTGGCCAGGTAAGACTAAGAGATTTAGTTTCTTCAATATAGGCAAGAGTGCATTAACAAGAGTATGCAACTGTGGTTATGGGTCAGTGCGTGGCGCGCTGCCTTCATTACGTAACTTGCTTTCATCACGCTCTGAAAGTATGCTCTCAAACTCTCCTACGAGCCCATCCATTTTTGCTCCATTCCTTCCAGTGCCTACGCGATCTCTAAATTTGGCGTGTGAACTCCACTTCCGTACAAAAGTCCATTTCAAACCAGAGGGAAAGTGCGGTGTTCTGTCCCCCGGGAAAATCGCGATTCCGCGGCCGCGTTTTTTCCGCGTTTTTTGCAATTTTTTACGCGTTTTCCGCAATGTTTCCGCATTTTTGAACTCTTTTCTTGCACTACATGTACACACAGTGCACTATTCGGTCAGCAACGTCTCATCGTGGCGGCTTTGTACTCAATATGACGAGTGCTTATACCAGAGACTTATACCTGATTGATTTCACTACATACTCACTGAAAATTGACTCATATCAACTGCAAACTTGCCGCATATCAATATTATTCACCGCATATTTACCGCAAGTTCACTGCAAATTATGCCATATTTACCCGCCAATTACACCGCAAATTCTGGGATTTTTTCCGCGATTTTCCCCAGGGACAGGGTGTTTGATTTTCCGCAGTGCCCGGACTGCAGCTGAATGATAATAATGAAGGCAGCGCACCGCGCATCTGGCCCATAGGAAAGAGATCACAATTGCATACTCTTGTTTATGGACTCTTGGTATAAGCATTTCGAGTTGCAAATGGGAGATGTCTTTTGATAACAATGGCCTGGTTCCTCAGGATGTATGCTGGGACCGATTGTAATTGTTTGCCTGCATATGTATGTGTGGGTGGTGCACGCGTGCACTGGTGTGTTTGTGAGAGTGCACTGGTGTGTTTGTGAGAGTGCACTGGTGTGTTTGTGAGAGTGCACTGGTGTGTTTGTGAGAGTGCACTTGTGTGTTTGTGAGAGTGCACTGGTGTGTTTGTGAGAGTGCACTGGTGTGTATGTGAGAGTGCACTGGTGTGTTTGTGAGAGTGCACTGGTGTGTTTGTGAGAGTGCACTGGTGTGTTTGTGAGAGTGCACTGGTGTGTTTGTGAGAGTGCACTGGTGTGTTTGTGAGAGTGCACTGGTGTGTGTGTGAGAGTGCACTGGTGTGTTTGTGAGAGTGCACTGGTGTGTTTGTGAGAGTGCACTGGTGTGTTTGTGAGAGTGCACTGGTGTGTTTGTGAGAGTGCACTGGTGTGTTTGTGAGAGTGCACTGGTGTGTTTGTGAGAGTGCACTGGTGTGTTTGTGAGAGTGCACTGGTGTGTTTGTGAGAGTGCACTGGTGTGTTTGTGAGAGTGCACTGGTGTGTTTGTGAGAGTCCACTGGTGTGTTTGTGAGAGTGCACTGGTGTGTTTGTGAGAGTGCACTGGTGTGTTTGTGAGAGTGCACTGGTGTGTTTGTGAGAGTGCACTGCTGTGTGTGTGTGCACATGCACATCCACTGGTGCGTGTGTGTGTGTGTGTGTGTGTGTGTGTGTGCGTTTGTCGGTCTGTGTGTGCATGTCCGCGGGTGTGTTTATGCGTGCACGGGCGTTCACTGGTGTGTGCATTCGTGTGTGTGCACGCCCCAGTGAATGCAATGATGTGTGTGTGTGTGTGTGTGTGTGTTTGTGTGTGTGGTGGTACATGGTGTGTGTGTGTGTGTGTGTGTGTGTGTTGTACATGGTGTGTGTGTGGGGCGAGGGGGGGGGGGGTGCGTGTGCGTGCGCGCGCGCGCCGGCGTTTACTGGTGAGCAAGCTTACATGCGCTGATGTGTGTGTGTGTGTGCCCGCAGACGTACACTGGTGTGTGTGTGTGTGTGTGTGTGTGTGTGTGTGTGTGTCTACAGGAGTCAGTTAGGAATTTTGTAGCTCTCATTGTTTGATTAGTTTTTGTTAGCTTTCAGTTCTCAGGGATGACTCTGGGCTTCCAGGGTCGTCCTTGGGACATTTCCCAGTAGAAGTCCACAGCGGAAAGTCAACAGAGCAGATTACAGGACGAACTTCGGGTCTCGTCACTCTGACTCTGTTTTCCGCTGTTGGACCCATCGCGAGGCCTTGCAAGCCCGCGAATGGAGCCATCTATCGCACGCAGTACGAGACGAAAGTTTTTAGGAAGGAGTGTGTGTGTGTGTGTGTGTGTGTGTGTGTGTTTGTGTGTGCATGTTTGAGCAAGTTGTGCGTCATGTGTGTGTGTGTGTGTGTCCCAGATGGTGCAGTGGTATGTGCAGTCGATTTCCAATCGAGGTTGCGGGTTCAATTCCCGCCGATTATGGTCGCACACGTCTTTCTTCTCTTTCTCGGACTCTTCCTGACTTTTATTTCATTCACCTGGGTGGTTACCAACAGCTAGTGTATGCCGGAGTATGTGGTGTGGTGTGTGTGTATAAAAATATAAAAATGGAAAAATGGAAAAATGGAAAATAGGGATTAACTGGCCAGAAAAATCACTTCAAACAGCTGTGTGGTAGATACCTGGCTGAAAATAGTGGCGGTCAATTCATCAGCCTTGCAAGCTGTTGAATGGTGTAATCCCAGCACAAGTTGCTATGTCTAACATAGCTGTTCGCTATCATCGCTTCCACGATGGGCATGTCTGAGGTCTGAGGTGTGTGTGTGTGTGTGTGTGTGTGTGTGTGTGTGTGTATGTGCTCCTTTTGCTTGGTGGATTCTTTCGTGGACAGTGTTTTTTCGTGACGTGAAATTTTGAATTTTTTTTCCTTCCTGTTCATTTTCAGTCGTTGTCACTGTAGCTGTCAGGTTGTTGTTACAGTACAGCAGTCGTCCGTTCTGCTCCATTGTTTCATCTGTTTTGCCAGTTCTGCTAGCTGATTCTATTTATTTGCCACTGCCCCTCATAGTGCTCATGCTTGGGTGGAGGGCGGCGTGACCCGTTTAGGGTAGCTGTATCATAGTAGTAGTAGTAGTGTGTATGTGTGTGTGTGTGTGTGTGTGTGTGTGTGTATGTGTGTGTGTGTGTGCATGCATGAGGTACCACAGCCAGGAGTGGACTGGTTATCCGAGGGCTTTTTCCTGTTGGCAGTCGTACGCAGAGAGTGCACAGCGTGTTGCACGGGGGTACATTGACATCATCCTCTTGTTTCAGGATGATTCAGCAACCTTGAAGTGCTGCCGGCTATGCGCCTTGCATGTGTACATGTGTCCTATTGCTTGTGTGTGTCTGTGTGTGTGTGTGTTGGGGGGGGGGGGGGGTTCACGCGTGTATGCACGAACACAAACGCCTGTGCACGGGGGTACATTGACATCATCCTCTTGTTTCAGGATGATTCAGCAACCTTGAAGTGCTGCCGGCTATGCGCCTTGCATGTGTACATGTGTCCTATTGCTTGTGTGTGTCTGTGTGTGTGTGTGTTGGGGGGGGGGTTCACGCGTGTATGCACGAACACAAACGCCTGTGTATGTTACCAATGTCCACTGCAGGTGCCAACCCTATGAAAGAAAGCAGTCGAAACCTAAGCAGTAAGCAGCTTCTTCCGATGGTCTTTTCAGTATTATGTTGCATGCCAATACCGTCAAGGCATACTGTCACGGATAACCTAGGTCTGCCACAAAATCTCCTGATGACGTAACCATGGTGACATGGAAAGTAGAATCAACAGTCAGGACGGCGATCATGGTACCATCAACATCCATGGGATATTTTGCCCGAAACACTCAGCACTAGAAGAGCTCAAGTCTTGCAGCAGGTAATATGGACATGCTGCAAGAAAGCATTGCTCCTGTTGCTGTGCTGAACAGCAGCGTTGAGCTGCTCAGCTTGCAGCACTGTTTGACTCCATGAATCTTAGTTGCACATTAGCTGTTATCTGCCAGCCATTGTACTGATGTGCCAATACCCGCTAACAGAAATGATGCTGATGAGGCGTCAACAGAAGGTGACAGTTCTTTTGATCATTGATCTTCAACCACTCACTGATGTGTGTTGTGCACACGCACATCCCTCAATGGTGAGTATGTGTCTGTGTGTGTACTGTGTGTGTGTATGCGTGTGTATGCGTGTGTGTATGTGTGTGTATGTGTTTGTGGGTGTGTTTGTGTGTTCCCTTGGCTTCGCAGGTTGGACTTATCTGGCGCCAGTCTTGATCTGGCCCATTCAGATCTTATCCGCTATCGTTGCTATAAGAGAACATTATTTTGTGGGTGCACATCCAGTGCATTTGCAGATTTGCGTGCTCCTCTTGCGACCGCATACACTTGGTACATGGTGTGTGTGTGCGTGCGCATGCGGTGAGCACACACGGGTGAGCGGATTCAATATTGTGTTGGTGTGTGCATGCGGGCGAGTATATTCACATGCTGATGCTGGTTCTACACATATCATTGTGTTGCGAGTGGGCAGGCGGTGCGACGCATATTTCCAAGGCATTGGCATGCCTTTTAAATTCTCTTGCAGATTTTGGCCGTGCTCTCATTTAGGTTCTTGCTGTTACTCACAGGTACAAGGTGTGCTTGATACTAAGCACACTTTTAATCATGATTTTGGGATGCTGAAACTCTAATACTACTACTAGTGTTTTGTTACTTTTGTAAGATCTCTTACTCGCTATTCTATAACATTTAGTGACCAAGCTTTTCTTGAACCCCGAAAAATAGGCCTGATTACAAAAATATAATGAATGTCTCATTTCTTTATCCACATTCCGAACATTCATTATTAAACATACCAGAAAAACTGTATAGCATGTAATTTTAGTAGGGGTGAAACAATTTTACCGAATACTCGAGTACTAGCACTCGCTCGTTTTTTCATAAATAATCGTACTTGGATGAATAAATCCGAGAGAGTACTCGTTCATACATGGTACATGCATTTACCACAGAAATCTGCAGTTTCAGAGCAGCAGTCAGCAGATATTGATGTGCAGACTGTGTGGTGAACATTTTGTTCACGAGTAGGGAGCGCCCAAATGACCCACCAGCCAATATGCCTAAGAAAAATTGCTGCCACTCGGTTCAATCAGGGTTGTACCATGTCATTTTAAGGGCCTTGGTGTGCAATTTTTAGGAGATAAAGAATACTCCAATATTCGATCTGAGAAGATCAGAGTACTTTGAAGTACTAGTACTCGAACTCGAGACTCTCAATGCCAATTTTCACCCCTAAATTTTAAAATTTAGGTGTAGTACAATTTCTGTATCACGGGCTTGTCAGGTTTCAGGTGTAATGTAGAATTTGGTGACCAGCCTACCCTTCATAAACAGTGTGGACTCCAGTGCCATTTTAGGTGTAATTAGGTTGCGTTTGGTTGGTCACATTCCACAATGGGAATCACTGGGAATCATTCTTGCCTGTTTGTTTGGTCAAAAAAGTCCGTTAGGTTGGTCCCATTTCAGAATGGGAATGACTGAGAATGGTTCTTTTTGGAGAATGATCATTCCACCTCACATGCTGGAATGAGCATTCTCATTCCAGAATCAAAAATGATAATGGTTGTCACGAGCCAAACAAAGTAGCAACAGGTTCAAGTGCCTTAAATCATGCACTCAGAAGTACCTTCATCAGTAACTCTCATCTTCAACAATTCACTTTCCGAAGGGAGATTTCCACTATCCATGAAACTTGCAAATATCACCCCTGTGTACAAGAGCGGCGACCCTACTTAGGCCACCAATTTCAGACCTGTTTCTCTGTTGCTTATTATCTCAAAGATTCTTGAGCGCATCGTACATTCGCAACTCACTGAATTCTTGACCACCCACAGCCTCTACCCAGATTGTCAGTTCGGATTCCGGAAACAGCACTCAACAGAGTCTGCTGTTGTGATGGCATCGGAGGCCTTTGCCAATGCCAAAGACTCCGGACTCTCAACTTGCGCTGCCTTTGTTGACATGTCGAAGGCATTCGACCAGGTTCAACATGGCACCCTCATCCGCGACCTCTTCAGTATTGACGTTGGTGGAAGTGCGCTGATTGGTTGGCAGACTACCTAAGTGACCGGCAGCAAAGGGTTGTCATTGGCAACCAGCACAGCAAGGTATTTCAGCCCAGCAGTGGTGTGCCCCAGGGTTCTGTACTTGGTCCTCTGCTGTTTGTTCTCTATGTCCGTGGTGTGGCAGCTGAAGTGCAACCGTATGGTGTGCGGACAGTTCAGTTTGCAGATGACATCATGCTCTATATTAGTAGCAGGGACAAACATCAGCTGGAACGTAGTATGTGTTCTGCAGTTACGCACCTGGCCAGATGGCTTGCCAGCAGGAACCTGGTACTAAACGAGAGTAAAACCCAGATTTTGTTCATCCTTGCCCATCGTTCTGTGAATCCTCGTGTCAGCGTTACGTGCTCTGGAGTTCAACTGGCACAAGTAGAATCCGCAAAGTATCTTGGTGTCCACATGGACCAAGATCTCAAGTGGACCACCATGGTCAACCAGATCGCCAAGCGAGCTGCCTGTAAAATAGCTGTCCTGTTTAGAAACAGGCGCTGCATGCCCCTCCCGTGCTGCATCACGAACCTGAAGTCCCTGATCCTTCCTGACTTCCTGTATGCTAGCAACTGTTTCTCTGCTGGCCTCACCTCACATCAGCTCGAGCGCCTAGAGTGTCTACTCAAGCGCGCAGTCCGCTGTGTTTACAACGCTGCATTTGCATCCCCATCTGGGCCGCTGTATTGCCAATTGCGCGTGCACTCGCTAGAAGTTATGTACTGCCACAAGCTCCTTGGCTACACTTGGCGCTGCCTTCAGGGTAAATGCAGCACATTGCTTACCGATATGTTCAGTCCTCTTAATGCCGGCCGTGCTACACGTAGTCATACCACCGATTCATGCGATCCCTCCCAGCACATGCCACTTTTCAGTAATGCCACTGCCTGCTGTATTATCAATTCCTTTTTTTCATCTACAGACCGTAATGCACAGCGTTTGAGAGTGTGAGCTTTTTTTTAAAATAATATTGTTACCAATTCCTGTTAAGGGCTTTACTAGGGATTCTACTGAAGTACTCGAAAGTGACACAAACCATTCTTAGTCATGGTATCGGTGTTAGCCAAATTAGGGATCCAACTCTCCGCAAATAATAATAATAAATAAGCACCCTAATAATAATTTATTATACTCGTTCAGAAAGTGGTGGCCATAACGCAACTGCATTGTAAATAAAAGGGGGTTTGTCAACTGACAACCGCTCTATTTAGTTATTATCTATTAAATTTTGAATAAGGCATTCCCACAGGCCTAAGGCCTTCTTACGGGTACCCTATAATATGTTTGAATAGGGCATTCCCACAGGCCTAAGGCCTTCTTACGGGTACCCTATAATATGTTTGAATAGGGCATTCCCACAGGCCTAAGGCCTTCTTACGGGTACCCTATAATATGTTTGAATAGAGCATTCCCACAGGCCTAAGGTCTTCTTACGGGTACCCTATAATATGTTTGAATAAGGCATTCCCACAGGCCTAAGTTCTTCTTACGGGGTACCCTATATGTTTTTGTATGGATTGCTATTCACTCTTTTGATGAAAATTATTTTATGATGTCGAAACATTATTGACGTTTCGGACCAGTCATCCATCTTCAGAACCATGATGGGTGACTGGTCCGAAACGTCAATAATTATACTCCTTACAGTATTGGTGTACAGATGATGTTGGACTAGGGTCCGGCGGATTCTGCTGGCAGAAAAATTGGCAGAATTCGATACTTTTTCTGGTAAGTTTCATGCATGTTTGGTATGTGGATAAAAAATTGAGCAGAATTGGAGGAATTGCCGCCATAAGGTTTGTATGGTTCTGCCAATTTCACTGCTTTTAAAGCAGAATCTGCCACCTTTTCGAGCAGAATCCGCTGGTCCCTATGTTGGACATATCGCTCTCCACTTCCCCAAGCTATCGCTCTCCACTTCCCCAAGCTATCGCTCTCCACTTCCCCAAGCTATCGCTCTCCACTTCCCCAAGCTATCGCTCTCCACTTCCCCAAGCTATCGCTCTCCACTTCCCCAAGCTATCGCTCTCCACTTCCCCAAGCTATCGCTCTCCACTTCCCCAAGCTATCGCTCTCCACTTCCCCAAGCTATCGCTCTCCACTTCCCCAAGCTATCGCTCTCCACTTTCCCAAGCTATTGCTCTCCACTTCCCCAAGCTATCGCTCTCCACTTCCCCAAGCTATCGCTCTCCACTTCCCCAAGCTATCGCTCTCCACTTCCCCAAGCTATCGCTCTCCACCTCCCCAAGCTATCGCTCTACACTTCCCCAAGCTATCGCTCTCTACTTCCCCAAGCTATCGCTCTCCACTTCCCCTAACTATCGCTCTCCACTTCCCCAAGCTATCGCTCTCCACTTCCCCAAGCTATCGTTCTCCACTTCCCCAAGCTATCGCTCTCCACTTCCCCAAGCTATCGCTCTCCACTTACCCAAGCTATCGCTCTCCACTTCTCCAAGCTATCGCTCTCCACTTCCCCAAGCTATCGCTCTCCACTTCCCCAAGCTATCGTTCTCCACTTCCCCAAGCTATCGCTCTCCACTTCCCCAAGCTATCGCTCTCCACTTCCCCAAGCTTTAGCTCTCCACTTCCCCAAGCTATCGCTCTCCACTTCCCCAAGCTATCGTTCTCCACTTCCCCAAGCTATCGCTCTCCACTTCCCCAAGCTATCGCTCTCCACTTCCCCAAGCTTTAGCTCTCCACGTCCCCAAGCTATCGCTCTCCACTTCCCCAAGCTTTAGCTCTCCACTTCCCCAAGCTATCGCTCTCCACTTCCCCAAGCTATCGCTCTCCACTTCCCCAAGCTATCGCTCTCCACTTCCCCAAGCTCACACTGACAGCGTACAGTCTAGTTGAGGACAAACCGGAAAGCCTTCATGCGAAACCAGTCTCCTTATTGAATGTACATTCCTGGAAGTACACACTTCTGTACGAAAACTCTACTTGGAACAAAGGATATTTGTTCAGCTACATATCAGGGAAAGTCCCATCGCAACACATACTAATACTAGTCTTGCAAGTTAACGAAAAGGCCCAATTCCTTTTGAGTAGCCTTTTGAGTAGCCTTTTGAGTAGCCTTTTGAGAAGCCTTTTGAGCAGCCTTTTGGGTAGCCTTTTGGGTAACCTTTTGAGTAGCCTTTTGAGTAGCCTTTTGAGTAGCCTTTTGAGTAGCCTTTTGAGTAGCCTTTTGGGTAGCCTTTTGGGTAGCCTTTTGAGTAGCCTTTTGAGTAGCCTTTTGAGTAGCCTTTTGAGTAGCCTTTTGAGTAGCCTTTTGAGTAGCCGTTTGAGTAGCCTTTTGAGTAGCCTTTTGAGTAGCCTTTTGAGTAGCCTCTTGAGTAGCCTTTTGAGTAGCCTTTTGAGTAGCCTTTTGAGTAGGCTTTTTAGCAGCCTTTTGAGTAGCCTTTTGAGTAGCCTTTTGGGTAGCCTTTTGGGTAGCCTTTTGAGTAGCCTTTTGAGTAACCTTTTGAGTTGCCTTTTGAGTAGCCTTTTGAGTAGCCTTTTGAGTAGTCTTTTGAGTAGCCTTTTGAGTAGCCTTTTGAGTAGCCTTTTGAGTAGCCTTTTGAGTAGCCTTTTGAGTAGCCTTTTGAGTAGCCTTTTGAGTAGCCTTTTGAGTAGCCTTTTGAGTAGCCTTTTGATGTATTTAGTACTGAGTGTCGTAAGGCTCTAATGGAAGAGGGTCTTATCCATGTACTTACTAAGATGTTCTGATACATATTTAGCACAGGTGACAAGGCTACGTACAACAATTATAGATACCAGGCGTATTTGGTATCGACGTCCTGGTTTTGAAAGGTTGAAACCTTTCCTAGAGTTCGTTCATTGAATGGTTAGCAGCCACTATAAAAAAACGGTATGGATGTCTCAGTTCACAAGTTCTTGCTGTCAATGCGACAGACTTATTTTTCAAGCAGAGATCAGCAGACAGTGAACAAATCTACAGTTGATACATTTCAGGTACACGTTGTGTTTGTGTGCATATCAGCAAGAAGCGGATATAACATCAGAAAAAAGGAAGAGCTGGGAGAACTTCTACAAACAGCTGAATTGTAAGTTGTGTGCATTGTACTTTTCTTTGCAATATACATGTAGCTACCTAGATTTTCCCAACACTAGTTAGAATAAAAATCAAAAGTTCAGGTCTTCGTTTGATGGTTCACCAATACACTAGTATCTTGAAACTGTCCGCCTCTCCACACTTCGCTCTTGGCGCACATTCACCACACCAAAACGAGGACATTCGCTCTTGGGTAGATGTTCCACATCTCCCAGACATCTGTTTCGCAGTGTGGAGAGATGGACGGGTTGTAATTACTTTCAAATGGCGGAGTCCGTTCCAGCTTCTGAGAATACCAATATATTGGTTGGTTGTTATATTTTATTTTACTTTGCCAGAATGAACAGGCATTTCTACCTTCTTGCCTGGACAAGTGACAAAAGACGAAGAAAGGAAAGAAATATTACATGAGAGTGTGAAGCATGCATGATGAGAGAGGAGATAGAGATAGAGATAGATAGATAGATAGATAGAGATAGATAGAGAGAGAGAGATAGATAGAGACTGCTTTATTGCCTGGACAAGTGAATTGTCCAAGTAAAATATATCTTCATACTAGTGTAAACCCCTTCTTAAATTTCATCAATTGGAGTACTTCAAGTAGGAAGATATTACTTGTCGATGCCATCATCATTTTGGCCTCTCAATTCAGCGGAATTCACTGGCGTGTAGTGCCAAGATTCTCTTGCCATCAGGCAACACTACCCAAGACGAGACGAGTGACTGGTAGACTGTTCTTGCTGGTGTCCGCAAGCGCTCTGGGGTCTCGTCGGGTCACAAGGACACCTTATGCAGCAGCTATTTCTCTTATAAGATTGCATGCTTCACACTCTCATGTAATATCTATTTCCTTTCTTCGTCTTTTTGTGAGAGCTTGGGCAATCCACTTGCCCAGGCAAGAAGGCAGCAATGCCTGTTTGTTCTGGTGAAGTAAAATAAAATATACCAACCAACCAGCTGATGATGCTGATGGTGTTCTGTAACTACCACGTGTCGAGCTCGGCCGGAGAGCTCAGTTATAGTGTGATGGTTGATGCTAAACAAATATCGATTTTAATGAACAGTTTTAACTATGGACTCAGATGGCGAGCCAATGTAATCCTGGAGAAATATATTGAAAAGGAAGGACAACATTGTTACGTGTTATGACCAACTATCCACCAAAGTAACCAGAGAATATACATATACAATCACCAGAGTGCGACAAGACGCAATACTGACCAGGGAGAGTACTCACACATTCCTAATCTGAACGTTTGGAAGATTGTCGGGTTGCGTTTCGAAGATGTCACGGTTCTAGCCACATGTACATTATACATGTAGGTGGTATGAAGACTACGTAACCTGTTTTATACCTCACTCCATAATACACTTTATCACAGTCTTGGGCAAGATCACCCTTAGTGGTGTATATATCTCCATAATACACTTTAATACAGTCTTGGGCAAGATCTTCCTTAGTGGTGTATATATCTCCATAATACACTTTAATACAGTCTTGGGCAAGATCTTCCTTAGTGGTGTATATATCTCCATAATACACTTTAATACAGTCTTGGGCAAGATCTTCCTTAGTGGTGTATATACATGTATCTCCATAATACACTTTAATACAGTCTTGGGCAAGATCTTCCTTAGTGGTGTATATATCTCCATAATACACTTTAATACAGTCTTGGGCAAGATCTCCCTTAGTGGTGTATATATCTCCATAATACACTTTAATACAGTCTTGGGCAAGATCTTCCTTAGTGGTGTATATATCTCCATAATACACTTTAATACAGTCTTGGGCAAGATCTTCCTTAGTGGTGTATATATCTCCATAATACACTTTAATACAGTCTTGGGCAAGATCTTCCTTAGTGGTGTATATATCTCCATAATACACTTTAATACAGTCTTGGGCAAGATCTCCCTTAGTGGTGTATATATCTCCATAATACACTTTAATACAGTCTTGGGCATGCTCTCCCTTAGTGGTTTATATAATTCCATATACAAATATTACACAGCAATGAATCAAACAAGTCTCTGTCCACTGTTACTCCGATTTTCGTGTAAAAACACTAGAATATACATGACTTTATACATGTGTTGAGAGAAGAGTGCAAAGGTGATGGAGGTACAACATTTCAATAGCGCGAGGAAAAGGGGTGACAGCGGAAAGAGACTTGTTTGCTTCATTGCTGTGTAATATTTGTATTACTGGCTCTGTCCACTGGACATTGAGCACTGTAAGCAGCCTTTGGACTTTAGACAAAACTGTCTATCTCCATATACATGTACACCGCTAGGGGAAATTAGAAGTAGTTGTCGGCGAAGAACAAGCCATTAGGAGGCCACACACGGTGAATATGGAGAGGTATAAATATATTGTAACAAAGGTACCTCGTGTACATGTATATTGAGATTGACACCAGTTATAAAAAACCTCGGCTTCGCGTCGGTTTTCATACTGGTGTAGTTTTTGTGTGGTTTTTGTGAGGGTTTTGTGCAGTTTGTACAGTTTTTGTACAGTTTTTGTGCAGTTTAGTACAGTTTTTTTACAGTTTTGTGCGGTTTTGTGCAGTTTTTGTGCAGTTTTTGTACAGTTTTTGTGCAGTTTTTGTGCGGCTTGTTGCACTCGCTGACTTCACTTGCACATGTACATGGTTACTTTGGTGCACAGTTCGTGATCATTGTTTTCTTTCTCTTTCTACCGTGTGTGTGTGTGCGTGAGTGCACGCGTCTGTGTATGCGTTTGTGTGTGCGTACATGTACATATTTCCACCTGACGTACATTTAAATACTGAAGTAATGTGTATGTACATGATGTTACATGTGTGTGTTTGTGTGTTTGTGTGTGTGTGTGTGTGTGTGTTACTGTAGGAAAGATGATGCTGATTCACCACAGCTGGTCACTGGTACTCTCGTTAGCCATCGTGTTGCCATGGTACTGTGTAGCCCTGCCAGCCAATGACGGCCATGGCTCCACATCACGTGATGACCAGGAGTCAATGGCGTCACTGGAGACAGAATGGGAAGAGGTATTGGTGGAGCACCCACGAACCGAAGGCAGCAACGGTGGCAGCATTGATTACCGACTGGACCACGAGTCATGTCGCAGCGAAATGACCGATATTCTGGTTAAACGAGCTGGCTGCCTCAAGCGTGTATCTATCGGAGTCTGTTCGGGAACGTGCATGTCTAAGCCGGTCTTCCTAAAAACTCACCCTTTTGTAAAATATCCCTGCTCAAAGTGCTTTCCTGTCACATCCAAACCGTATCGAGTGGATATGAACGATCAAGAATGTCGGCAGCAACGACTGGAGAAGGGCAAGGAGGACAAAAACAAATCATTCTCCAACATTTTCTTACTCAGTGCAACCAGCTGTTCGTGCCAGGCATCCGCAATGAAACAATAGAATTATTTCTCAATCACCAATTTCGCTGAAGAAATACAACGGTTGTGAACAACAGATTCTCACCTCTTGCCATCATCACTATTGAATGGTAGAAATTACCTACTTGAGAGATCAGTGCA